AGTTCTTAGGATTTTGTCCTTCTTTTGGGAGAGGGAGAAGGATGGGTGGGAGAGCCACCGGTGGGGTTTAGCACCTGGCCATGCCAGAATCTTCATTTTTGTTTATTAGTTTCTCTCCTTTGACCATCAGTTTTTGAATTTTATTGACATGATGTCTTACTTCTTGTTTAGTTGCTGCTGTTAAGTTTTTGGGTAGTTTTGGATAGTCTGAAATGATTTTTATTCTCTTCGTTAAATAGAATCGGAATTCTATGATCTGGTTTTAATTCTGCCATATTTACCTCCCTGCAGTCTCATTTTAAATATGAGACATCTGAAGTACATAGAGTTACTGGCTAGAGATCAGATAGCTCTTCATCAGGCTAGCTTACGTGAATGTGGGGTCTAGCTATGCAAGTCTGAAATCTCTAGGGCAGGCTGTCAGGCAGTGAAGCTGGGACTCTTTGGGCACAAGCTGAAGCTGTAGTGCATAGGTGGGATTCTTCAGGGAAACCTCAGACCTGCTCTTAAGGCCTTCCAGCTGATTGAGGCAGACCTACCCAGATTACCTAGGATAATCTCCGTTAAAGTCAGTTTCTTATATAAGTTAATTGCATCTGCAGATTACTTTCACAGCAAGACCTAGATTAGTGTTTGAATAAATGGGACTGTAGCCTAGCCCTGGTGTCACAGTGGTTAAGAGCTACAGCTGCTAACCTAAAAGGTTGGCAGTTCGAATCCACCACCTGCTTCTTGGAAACCCTGTGGGGCAGTTCTTCTCTGTCCTATAGGGTTGCCATGAGTCAGAATCGGCATGATGGCAACAGGTTTGGGTTTTCTTTTTGGTTTTGGTAGCCTAGCCATGTTGATACATTTGACTGTCAAGGATGGCTTCTACCGAACTTTCAAGGAACTGATAGTTATTTTATACAAAGTGTTCCAGAGAATACAGAAGGAAGGGGAAACCCCTAATTTATTGTTTAAATAATATAACTTTGTTACCAAAACAATACAAAGACAGTATGAGAGGCGAAAGTCATAGGCAAATCTCAACATGAAGATAACTACAAATAATTCTTAAAAAATGTAACCACCCATGACAGAGTGTTGCTAGTTACTAGTCACCATTTTTTCTAAAAGTCTTAGCCAGTAAGAATTAAAAAGGAAGATGCAAAAATGTCCCTATGTTTAGGTGATATAACTGTCAACATATAATTATCTACCTAGAAATTGGGAGATAATCTATTAACACGTTCTTCGAATTAATGAGAGAGTTAAGTAAGGTTGTGTTGATTATAAGGACAATATTAAAAATCAGTTGAGCTTTTATAATAGCAATAAATGATTCCAAACCAAAAACTAAAGCAGTTACCATCCAGTTGATTCCAACTCATAGCAACACTGTGTGTGTCAGAATAGAACTGTGCTCCATCGAGTTTTCAGTGGCTGATTTTTTCAGAAATAGATCGCCAGGCCTTTCTTTCGAGGAGCATCTGGGTGGACGACCTCCAGTCTTTTGGTTATCAGCTAAGTGCGTTAACTGTTTACACCAGGCAGGGCCTCCAGTAAGAATTACATGTTATTTTTGAAAAGATACCTTTACTAATAGAAATAAATCTAATAAAAGATGAAAACTATCTTTAAGGAGAATGTTATAAAACTTTTTGTGTAGTGAATTGTCCAATTTCTGGTAGTGATGTGTTAAAAGTCTCCCACTATCAATGCAGATTTGTGTATTTTTAAGCTAAAATTGTTAAATTGACATAAAATATACTAACACTGAAATTTACAGATCTTGTGTGTTTTGATAAATGTGTATACAAAACATTCAAGATATAGAATATGTTCATCTCCCAGAGAGTACCATTCTCAACTTCCGTAGGCAACCGTTGTTTTAATTTTTATCACCATAGATTAACTTTGTGCTCTTGAGTCATACGGTATGTACTCTTTTTTGCTTTTTTTTTTTTTTTTCTCAAATTCTTCTGAGATTTGTCCATGTTGAGTGTATCAATAGTTCATTCTTTTTTTTATTGCTAAAACCCATTAAAAACCCACTGCTGCTGAGTCAATTCTGACTCATAGTGACCCCATAGGACAGAGTAGAACTGCCCCATTGGGTTTCCAAGGAGCGGCTGGTGGATTCGAACTGCCGACCTCCTGATTAGCAGCCAAACTGTTTAACCACTGTGTCACCAGGGCTCCTTTTTATTGCTAAGGAGTATTCAATTGGGTTGTTTCCAAATTTTGATTATTATGAATAATGCTTCCATAAACAAACCGTACAAGTCTTTTTCAGAACATATTTTTTCAGATATTTTTATAGATATTCATATATCATGTTTTCATTTTCCATCAGATCAGTGTATTCTTTTATTTCCACTGAGACTTCCTCTTTGATCCATTATTTAGAAGCATGCTGTTTAATTTCCAAGTATTTGGAGATTTTCCTGTTATTGTATGATTTTGATTCTTTTACATTTTTTTAAGGTTTAATTTATGACCCAAGATGTGTTCATCTTGGTGAATGTCCTGTGCACCCTTGAAAAGAATGTGTATTGTGCTGTTATTGGGTAGAGTGTTCTATAAATTCCAGTTAGACCCCATTGGTTGATACTATTGCTCAGTTCTTTTATATCCTTGCTGACCTTTTGTCACCTGCTTCTGTTACTAGATTTTCTATATAGAAGATCATATCATATGTGAATAAAGATAGTTTTAGTTCTTCCTTTCCTTTAGTTCCAATCTGGAAGCCATTTACATTTATTTATTTTTCTTGTCTTATTGCATTGGGTTGAACATCCAGTATAACGTTGAGTACAAGTAGTGAGAGCCAACTATCTTATAATGTTTCCTATTTTAAAGGGAAAGCAGTCTTTCACCATTAAGTATGTTTGCTAGCTGTGGGTTTTCTTCCTGTTGTACATGGGGTTGCTATGAGTCAGAACCAATTTGAGGGCACCTAACAACAACAACCTTGTCTCTGCAAGTACTCACAGTGACCTGGATCCAGAGGTTGTTGGGAATGACATAGGACCAGGAGGAGTTAGGGGTTCTTGTCCACTCAGGTGTCACTGGATACTGGGAAACTGTTTGGTCTTTTGGGGAACAAATACCTATATTTACTTTTTGACCTGTGGTCTGAAAGCAGCAGAAGACGTGATCCACTTGGCTTCTACTAGGTTGTGGTTGTTAGGTGCCGTCTAGTCGGTTCCGACTCATAGGGACCCCACCTACAACAAAATGAAACGCTGCCCTGTCTTGCGCCAGCCTCGCAGTCGTCACTGTGTTGGAGCCCATTGTTGCAGCCACTGTGTCCATCCGTCTCTTTGAGGGTCTTCCTTCCTTCGCTGACCCTCTGCCTTGCCAAGGATGATGTCCTTCTCCAGGGACAGATCCCTCCTGATAACATATCCAAAGTATGTGAGATGAAGTCTCGCCGTCCTCACTTCTAAGGGGCGTTCTGGCTGTATTTCCTCCAAGACATATTTGTTTGTCCTACTGAGGTACTTCAACCAGTAACCCTTTTGTTTCATCCAGGGCAGCATCTTGCTCCCCATTTGTGCTGCTTCAGAGCATGGAGCAGCACCCATTTGTGGCATCAGTTTTTTCCTGTTAGTCTGTGAGGATATAATTACCTCATTTAATTGGATCTCATCTGCCTTTTGTCTTTCAGAGATGACTCATCATTTTTGGTTTACTGAGGACACCTACCCCTTCTTTGTTTTTCAGGGCTGTCTAGGAAATTAAGGAGCAGGTGGGAATCTGGAGCAAGTGCTCTGTCAGCCTTCTTAGTCTAATTGTGGTAGCTGTGTTTAAAATGTACAAAAATCTCGTTTGCCTTATTTTGTACATGGACCTGTGGTTCTACTTTTTCTTCTGCCAGATCTTTGTTTCTTTGGCCACACTTATTACTAGTTAGAAAAACTATTCATATGTCTCTTAATCTTGAATCTCTTCCTCTCTACTTGGATCTCAGTATTGATGAAAATCTTTTTATGAATTATATGAGTAAGAAAAATGATGATTTAGACTGTGATGTTAATTTTGACAAGACTACATGGAATATGTTAACAAGTAAAATTTTTTGCAGAAATTTTTAGAAAGCTGTTGCCTGTGTCCTTCATATGTCTTCTTCTGTTGGTGTGGTTAGGCGCCACTGAGTCTGTTCCAACTCCTGGCGACCCTGTGTGTGCAGAATACAGCTGTTCTCTGTAACGTTTTCAAGGCTGTGACCTTTTGGAAGCAGATCTCCAAGTCTGTCTTTGGAGGCGCCTCTGGGTGGCTTTCAACCACCAGCCAGCCTTCTAGTACTTGAGTGCTTAACCGTTTGCGCCACCCAGGGACTCTTTTTTCCTATTACGTATGGAAAAATACTTAGCCTAAAAACAAAGACGAGGAGGCAGGAAGGGACAGGAAAGCTGGACAAATGGAAACGGGGAACCCGAGGTCAAGAAGGGGAGAGTGTTGACACATTGCAGGGCTGACAACCAGTGTATATTAATATGTATATTAATTGTTTAATGAGAAACTAATTTGCTCTGTAAACTTTCACCTAAAGCAAAATAAAAAAAAAA